ATAAATTATATGGACCTCCTAAAAGAACTTGTGAATTATTGAACTACTCTTTTATATATGACACTTCAAAACTTTTAAATTAATTATTATTTTTGTAAATGCAAAGATATTTTTTCTTATGTACTTGAATTTTAATTAGAAAAAATAATATATTTATTAAAAGGTCCGCCATGAGATATACTAATCGCTTTATTCTTATTGAATGACAGGTCATTTAAGGTTCATATATCATTTCATTGCATATGCCACATAAATAAATGAGACTTGACATTAAAGTTTTTATATATTGAAATACCATTTATTTAAAAAAAAATCATAAAAATATATAACTAAATTGTAAAGTCAATAAATCCAATCGCATACTAAATATTCTAATAGAAGTCTAACACAAACAATTATTGTCTCTAATAAATTTATTCAAATAAATTTTATTTAATTAAATAATATAATGTAAACACAAAAAGAAGACGAAAACGAGGTAATGAGCTAAAAGAAAAGGCGAGAAGAGACTTAGGCTCCGTTTGTTTTGAGGGATTTGAAATCCTTTGATTTCAAAAATTTTTAAATATAAATTTCTTGAGTTGCACACTCTTTGAATGAATATGTTGAAAATATTATAAATCAATTGTCTAGCTCGCACCGATGGTGTTGACTCGCGGTGGTGATGAACCTAATTGATCGCGGACGGCGTGGTCGTCAACGGTGATAAACAGTGGATTTCAAATGACTAGGTTTGATGAGCCATTTAAAATTCTTCAAAATAATGACTAAAAAGATCTAGCATAAATTTGAAATCCCCAATATCCATCATCCCAACATGCATGAGGATTTGAACTTGTAAATTTGAAATCTATGGATTTCAAATCTCTCAGTCAATCCTTTAAAACAAACGGAGCCCTAAATCATTTTCAAGTATATAATTCAAATTTAATTTAAAACAAATATAATTTATTTGTGTCAAAATAAGATGAATCTGTGACTAGTGTAATATAACATGGGCTAAAAAATTTTTTACTAGTACATATTTAGATGTCCCAAAAAATTAAGACCGGTCTGGAGCGCACCCCACCTTTGAGATGGCTCCGTCCATCCGATTCATGCTTACCACAACTATGACGTAAGGGCTCATATCTTGAAGTGCATATATGTTCAAAACATCAATATAGTTGAGTTATAACTTATAACCATTATTAGAGTGTACATTTATAGAAACAACATGTTTTGGGTGTTTCTGGCCTCGGTTGGTTGGCGAATGGCAATTATATTTCGTAATGTTTACATATTTTCATTAAATTTAAACAGTATTAAGCAATCGCGTGCACTTTCAATTTTAAATTTAACACAAGTGCAATGTAAGGCTAAAATATTATAAGGGTTAATTTGACAGATTAATTTTTTGTGGTCTTTCCTCATTGACGAGAATCGCAATTGTACTATTGATTTTACATTAAGCTAGCCATCAAAGAAATATTGAATCAACAAATTAGAATCATTTCTAAATTCAGAAATTTTGTTAGATCTAGACATTTAACCGTTAAACAATTATATTTTAAAAAATATGCATACTCACCCTTAGATACTTTAGAAAAATAATATAAATAATTGTATGGTACTTTTCAATATAATTAACAGTGTATATTTTATTTAAAAAGTAGGACTAGTTAATTTGACCGTCTAATTGTTAGGCTGACTATTAGAAAAATTTATATTTAGGTATAAATTTGCCTTTTGTTGATAATTGAAATATAAATTTCCAAATTCAATACTTTTTGGAAATTAAAATATCTCTCATACTTTTATTTGTTCAAATTTTTAGCACGTGTAATGATTCTAAAATTGTATATCTCCAATATATATATATATATACACATATATATATATATATATATATTACTACGCAATTTTCTATATTTGTTGTCGGTTACCTTATCGTTCAAATTTATCAACNTATATATATATATATATATATATATATATATATATATATATTAATTTGAAAACCAACCTAAAATTAGCCTACTAAATGATAAAATTTATGTTGTACAAGAGTTTCTTGTCATCAAAGCATCGGAAAGTACTAATCGACTAGGACGGTTTTGTACATGCCACCCATTTTATTTTATTTTTTTTACTAAATGAGGGGTACTTGTTCCTCATCCAATGGATGAGGGTGCCACCCTGGGTGGCATGTACAAAACCGACTAAGACCATGTTAAACTCCATAATTAGATAAGAATAACTAATTAAAAAATTATTATAAATATTGATTATGTTTAAATATCACTTGTGATTTGTCCTACGTTGATTCTATAGAGAAAATGAGCTAGCTTATATATATTTAGTGGACTATTCATCTCATCACCAATTAGTTTTTGTTTTAAGATACAACCTCACTATGATGCACCTAACCTCACACTCTTATGGTGCGTTTCACATGCGTGGGACCGCATCAGCTTGTATAAATCTTATAGATAAGGCTCAAATGAATTCTATAATTAGGGAAAAGTTGTTATACTGATAAAAGGAGGGTGAGTTACTGAGTTACGATTTATACAATACAAACGAAGTAAAAATAATATAATAATAAAATAGAAAAAGAATAAGAGGGAGATAGGGTTTCAGATCAACTTTATTAGTGAAAGGGACATGTTGGTCATACAGTCAAAGAAAACATGGCCTTGAATGGAAATAAAGTAGATTTAATACTAGTTCAAATAATTGTCCTCTACCCATGGCCCTTGTAGACTTGGGGAACTCCCTATTTCAGACCTTCAAATTGCCACACTGTGAATGTCTACATCTTGTGTATCTAAATGAAAGTACCCTATAGTTTAACTTTCATATACATATATATACAGTTCTATTCAAAAAGGACTAGACAATGCACGAGCAACCAAAAAAGAGAGAAAAAAATAATAAGAATAATAATTAATTTGACAAAATTTTGGAATCACAAATTTTGTCTTGTTGGATATTTACATGTATTGATTCATGTTCTCAATAGTGCCAATGTGTATTTAATAGAAGTATACATTTTCTTTTTTCTGGGTTATGGATACTGATAATAATTGTTAATACTTAAAATGGTATGGAGAGAATACTAAAGAATATGTCCGTCAAATGGACTGAATGGAATATCAAAGCTGCACTCAAATGCCATAACATGTTTAGTACGGATAAATTCTGCAATTAGTAGCCTTCTATTTTGAGATCATATTTAGGCAGTCACTGGTCATATAGCTGTCACAGTTTTTCAGTTTGTTCCTTTTAATTGGGTTATATAACTTATTTGATAAGACACGGGATGCATAAATACAACGAATTCAATTGTTATATGTTTAAAATGTGTCGATAATAAACATTATCAAGTTAATTAACAAAGCAATTGATATATGTACTCAGCTGTGGACAATTTTACTCAATTTTATTTTTTTTTAACCTGGACAGGTCTGATGGATGTGTTAACAATGAACCCGTTTGACCAGGACAAGTCAACTCGGTTCTACTCGGCATATGTATATATATATATATATTAACTATTTCAATTTTGAAAATAAAATTATGTGTATGTATTTATATGGTAAATACTTATAAGGAGATACAATATAATTAAGATACAAAATTATAAAAGTTATATATAATTTATTTATTTTTATAATATTTATGTATAATTATAAGATAATATTATATATATATATATATAATTTTAAAACATTTAAAATGAAATAACCTTTCAACAGTTGATCTAATGATTCAGAACCGGTAAGCCGAACGCAAGTTCGAGTCAAATACCTAACCGAATTTGAAAACATTCATTTTACTTGATACGGGTTTAAAGAAAAAGAGACGATTCGTTCCTCATGATTAATTATGGTTTTACTACTATTTTTGTCACCAATGCTTTGGCTAATTTTCCACTTATGTATTATCATCCTTTTGTTTAGGATANCTTTTCTATTTTAAAAAGAGAGGAAAGGATGCTAATGAAGCTTTTCCACTTGAGATAGCTAGGGCAAATTTGCTGTCAGCTTTTTGAACTGGTGAAAACAAACTCGGTGAAGTAATTTGACCCGAGTTTCATTATTTCACATAATAGAATACTCGTGTGAAATAACATACTTTTCAAGTTTATAATTTAAAAAAAAAAAGAATTATATTTGCGGTATTACATGAAATAATCATGCTACGGTAACATAATAAATAATATAATATCATGTTATTTACACGCCACATCACATTGCTTCTAAAATCAACAGCCATTAAATACACATATCGATTTTTTGCCATCATCTATGTCAAACAATTATGTAATATTCTTTCATAAAATATGCCACTTTACCAATATTCGTTTCAAAATGTCAGATTGACTGCAAATTTGAAAATTTTACAATGGCTGCTTTGTAACATTAATACAATACAAATACAAGTTCCCACTGTACAAAATGAAGAAAGAAAATTTAAAATTATTGTAAAATGATTTTATCACTAATTAATGAAAATTAATACTCCAAAAG